AAGCGAAGGAGTTGGACGAAGACCCAAATTGGCAAGGGTGGAAGTTCATCTTGGAGGATCCCGCGGGGGCGATTTCCGAAAATCAATGTTTACACGTCCAATGAGATTTTCTCGACACGTGTCAACATGTGTGTGATATACTTGAAAATATCTTGCCACGCGAAACGGGTGGTTAAACGAGAAAATCGTCCCTTTTCATCGCGATCGAAACGATCCCGGCGTGAAATTTTTTACATTGCGTAAAAATTCGTGGATAACACGGTTCCGGGTAAGGTTAATCTTTTACGAGGAGATCGCTTCATTATCACGCCATTAGCATAACTTTCCCTTCCTGTTGTTTCAGATCTTATCCTCGGATTTGTTAGAGTAATTTCGTGTTAGTCGTTGGGCCGGTGTTTAATTATCCCCCGCCCTACTCGTTAAAGCAATAGAACAGGCTTATCGAGGCTTTTATAATTAATTATAATATAACGATAATTAAGTCGAAATTCCATCATTGCACGGAACAACGGAGTCGTTATACGAAGAATAACGAACTCGATTACCTTATCCGTGGTATGCCTCGTAAAAAAAAAGACACGCCGGAAGAAAAAGTAGGAGAAGAAACGAATCTGTATCTATCTGAACGAAGCAAGAAACAATCCTCGAGGTTTTCTCGAAAATCGAGCAACACCGATCGCTCGATCTCGACTCGAACACCACGATCCCCTATTTCTCGAAAACGTTTCCCTTGGCGACGCGTGCACCACGAAAACGTTTCCCTTGGAGACGCGTGCACCACGAAAACGTTTCCCCACGAGCTTGATACGTCTCCACTGTGCACACCCGTTCACGTGGCGCGCGCAAAAACGCGGAGCTGTTCGTCGCCACGGTGCGATGAACTCGGCTGCTCAGCGCGGTACTCGGCGTTTCTCCTCTCGAGGCCGTTTCAGTATTTGACTGTTCGACCAAGAGGACGTCCCTTCTCCACCTGCTTCCTCCTCTCTCCTCCCTCCTCCCTGTCCGTCGTCCCCCTTACACGCGGAGTTACGCGATGCATCCTCTCTCTGTCCCACCCCCTCTCTTTGTCCCTCCGCTCCCGAGGCGCGTACCCTCGCCGTGTTGCGCTCCCGGCTGCACTTCGACTCCTGTCGAGACGACAGAACGCCATAAGCAACCAATTTAAATGTAAATTGAAAAGCAGCGCGGCATACAAATTGTTCGACTCGCCGTCAAAAAATACTGCGAGCAAAGATCAAACGGAAGACAAGACGCTGGAGAGAGGGTGGCAATGCTTGTAAAAGTGGAGAGAGAGAGAGAGAGAGAAAGAGCTTCTCTTTCGATATGGAAAAAGAGGGAAGAGAGAGAGAGAGAGGGAGGTCTTCTTCGTCTCGGTGAATCGTCACGGTGGCCACGGACTCAGACACCGCTGATAAATTCTTCGTTAAATATTTGCGTTCCTCGGCTGGTTCCTCGGATGGTCTCTCGGTGAACACCGTTCACCGGAAGTTACCGGTCCTTCCTTCCTTCCTTCCATCCATCCGTCCGTCCGTTCTGGCCAACTCCACGTCTCCCTTTAACGATGAATCTTCGTTACACTTTGCCAAGGGGAAAGTATTTCTTCGACTTTGCCAGGAAAGGTTTTTTTCGTGGTCATGATTCGAAACATTATACAGTCTGGTTTTGCTTTCGTTCTAATTTTTCCGAAAAATATAATTCTCCTTCGTTACGTATTTTTTTAAATTAAAATTGGTACTATTTTTGTACAACGTGATTTTGGGAAGGAGGGAGGAAAAAAAGAAAGAATAGAGGTCGTATAATATTTTATAAACGACGAGATCAAATGCCATTCCTCTCACGATTCCATCTCTCTATATTTTATAAAACTCAGATATAGAAAAATAACGAAGTAGAAGGAAAGAAAGAACGTATTCTTCCCTCTAATTTCTCATTGTCGTACTTTCGTACCACGTTTTCATTCGAGCACCATTCTTCGAAAAGTTTGAAGATGGCGTTCCACGCGTTCCACCCTTTTGTCCTCCGTCTTCCAAACCGTAGTCATTGTTATCAACTATCCGATGAATAATTGAAACCCGGTATTTAACGCTTCGCCCGTGGCCCCTTTTGTTCGATGATGCTCTCTTCTTCTCCCGGCTCTTATTTAAATTTCAATTAAAGTGTACTTCCTTGTAAACTCGAACCAATGGAGGGAAGCGCGCCTCGTCTCTCTCGTTCGCGGAGATCGAAATCACAGGTTTTTCAGCGGGGACGATTTTTAAAAATGGGGGAGGAGAAGGGAGGGAGGGAGAGACGGAAACGACGGCTCGGCAAATTTTTCATTGGCCGGTAGCGGAGTCTGTTCGCGGCCTGTTGAAAAATTCAGCGAGTTTGTCCACGAACGAGAGCCGGAAAAACGGCAATGGGACCGGGATTGAATGGGGGAGTTCCGGCTTGTTTTTTTTCTTGTTTTTTGTTTTTCTGCTTTTTTTGTTTTTTTTTTTTTTTTTATTTTTGCCAGATTTTTCAGAGATGATTCTCTGATGGAAGACAGAATGCGGTCTGCGTTACCAACGCAGCAAAACGCTTGTTCCGCCCGAAAGTAAACACACGAACGTGCAGTCGGAGTTACGGCAACAAACAATAATATAGAGGTACACCTAGCTTCTCGATTCGATGTTATTTCAGAAAACCGTGGAACCGGATATCTGTCTGGGTGTAAACGAGTTCGTTATTTCGTAATTAATAACGCGAGCGATATCCCTTTGATTGACCCAACCTGATTTTCGTTTTGCTATATCGTTCCGTATTAATTTCCCAGTTGGAAAAAAAAAAAGACAGGGGAGCAACGATAATTTCGTATTACTGTTATCGTATTATTTTATATCATTCAAACGTAATTAAAATATCTTGGAAGTAAAGGGTCGATATTGAAAAAAATAATCTTGGAACGAAATATTTGGAAAAAAAGAGAGGGACAATTAATTAATTGTACAACAGGTAATAAAGTATATAAGTTATTTCGTAATTAATAGGATAATAATCTCTTAAATATGATATCCATCTTTCGAATGTTCATGTTCATGTTCTTTCGAATTGACTGTCCGTTAAAAAAAAAAAAAAAAAAAAAAAAACAAGAAAACCAAAATACCATTCTTGTTTTCTTTTAACCGTTATCGTAGCTACAAATTTAATTAAATATCTTGGAGGGAAAAGAATCGTATCGAAAACAAGATATAAAGACGAGAACAATATAAATGAAAACGAATACCAAAACCGGATCGCTCCGTTCTCTCCGCGGATAATTTTCATCGACTCGGAACCGGCCTCCTCATTGCGAGGAATTAATTTCCAATTCCAACGAGAGAGAGAGAGAGAGAAAGAGAGAAACATACGAAACATCGAGATGGAAACGGAAAGAGAGGCGGGAGTGAAACACGGAGTAAACCAGGGGATCGACTTACCATAATTTTGGTAGCACCGGACCGTTCCCTTCAACCGACTGTTGAATATTCCCTCGCTTATTAGAAAGGGTTTCTGTAATCGACGCCAGACACGAGCGGGTGTACCTTTACCCGTGGCATCGGCGTACCAGCCAGTCCAGAATGGGATTCCAATTAAAATAATAACGAATCCGGCCTGCGCACTTTTTTCTTCGTCGTCGCAAATAATCGCGTCCTTCCGTCGCGCGACACCCCTCCTCCCCTCCATTTCTCTCTCTTGTACGTATGCGTGCATCGCGATCGAGAAGGCCTCTCCCTCTCCTTCCTCCTCCCCTTTCCCCGTGAACGGAGCCTAAGTCGAATTTAAATCGGTCGAATTAACGAAACGACGACGAGGCGACGATAAATTTCTAAAAGAACCCTACGCGTCGACGAGAAAAAAAAAAGAGAAAGAAATAATGGAAAGCGTGTGACGAAATTTCTCCTTCACCAGATTCCTTCCTCTCTCCTTTCGGTAACGGGATGAAACGGATTGATTCGACTTCGTTCGAATTAACGTATAATAATCGAAAGATGAACACTGGTTGGCTGGAGGGGCGCGATAAATTTAAATTTCTCCGGAATGGTGTGTATCCGCCTATATAGGGAGAGAGAGAGAGAGAGAGAGAGAAAGAGAGAGAGACAGGGACAGGTTGTTAGCACGCTGCCGGCCATCAACATAATTAACCCCCCTAAGTGGAGACGCCTGTGTATCATTATTAGTACATGCGCGGCGGATGTTACAGGGTTCGAATGTGCTTACGAGAATTTAGGACCGCGTCAGGTGTCCTGATTTGGCTAATGCGAAATATCCAATTAACCGGTAATGGAGCCTTTATCGCATCCGGTGGCATCGGTCCCGCGGAATTTCAACCCCGCCGCGAGATCCACGCCGCGAATTCGACACAGGAAAATATGTTTGCCATCGTTTCGTGATCCGCGTCCCGACAATTCGAGACGAGATTCGAAGATTTCGATTCTATTTTGATACATATAGAATATAGATATAGATTCAATTTCAAATGTAATTTGCGATCTGTAAAACACTTTTCGTTCCTCCTTCGTTATCCTTTCTATAAATTCGACGATATTATAGAATATGACACATTTGAATTGATAAAATAATAGAGCGCACAATTCTACGACAGGAATTCGAAATTAATCCGAATTTGGCGAATATGTATTATATAGAGAAAGAAACGTAATCGTATATCAATACGCGATGATACACGATTGCCCATTACACCGAGTACACATACAACATAACACGTCGAGAAACGAGGAAACGCGCGCACACATACCACTCTCCATCATGTCCCTCTATTATCACCCCAATCACAAGTCCTCCGAACATTACCATCCGCCCCATCTACCTATCATCCCGATCCCATCGAACCTCCATTACCTTCCCATTTGTCACCACCGCCTTAATCAACCACCTCTCATCGTCTCGTACTCGTCGTGTCTCCCATCCATCCTCCCTCTTTCTCTTCTTCGTCTTCTTCTTCTTCTTCTTCTTCTTCTTTTTTTCTTTTTTTCCAGTTCGCAACGGCTACTCGTGCGTACCTGTTGCTCTGTCCGAGGGCCTGGACATCCGGCTGAACACGGCGGCAAGGGCGGTCCGCTACGGGGTGAACGGGGTGGAGGTGTGGGCCGCACCCTCGCGCAGCCCCCACACAAATCACACGGTGTACAAGGCGGACGCGGTGCTGGTCACCCTTCCCCTCGGAGTGCTCAAGGCGTCCGCGCCGCCGTCCGCGGTCGCCTTCAATCCTCCGCTTCCGGACTGGAAGTCGCAGGCTATTCAGAGGCTCGGTTTCGGCAATTTAAATAAGGTAAGCCCTCCCCCCACCTTCATCCGTCCGGCCGCTGATTTATGCCCCCACGAGGCAGAGGACGACGATCGAAGTTGTCGGGCCCCGGGAATGAGATATATTGTGATCGGGCGGCGCTCTTTCGTCGCGAGCGGAACGGTGACGTGGCTCGTGTCGCTTCTTACGCCGGGACACGTTCCTTTTACGGGGCCTCCCGTGGTCGGTTTACGAGCCGGGCCCCCATCATCCCCCTCCTTCTCCTCCCCCTCCTCCTTCTTCTTCTCCACGGGAAATTAAAGGCTCATCGCGAGGCGAAACGGATCCAGCCGATAAAGCGCGGTCGAATAAATTCGCCACGATTTCGGTTCGCCGGTAATTTCGACGGAATCGATGTTTGGATGCCGTGGGAGAGAATGGGCCCGGGATCTTGCGGTTTAAAGGGCTTGTGGGGTGTACGCGGGTCGTCCGTACGCGGGGAGGAGAGGGCGTCGTTTCGAGTTTCGGTTAAATTGGACGTGGGTTTAACCGGTTGGCTGCCGTATGACGTCGCGTCACACCTCGTTCGATGCGCTGTGATGCGGGGTATAATACGCGTCCGCGCGGTTTATTCATTTCGTGGGACGGTTTATCTCGATTCGAGATAGACGCGAGAAGAAGATGGCCCCGTCGATCCGCGTGTATCGATTTATAGCCAGATTTCTAGCGGTTCGTTGAGAACCTTTTAACCCTTTGCTCTCTGGGATTGTTGCGGCAACTTGAACGGTGGCAATATTTTTTTTATGTTTGATTTTTTTAGAATATCGCTTCATAGGTTCCTAAGTTTTTTATGTATAATCTTATGAGGTGTAATCTTATCTTATGAGTAATTATCTTGTGGTAATTTTATGAGACCACCGAATGCGCGAATCTGAGGTCTGAAGTTGCTGGTTCGACCGAGCGAAACCTGAAGTGCAAAGGGTTAATAAGGTTGGCTCGATGCGAAGGGAAACACGTATATCGAAGATAGGATTTCTTTCAATTCGATTCATTGAAATTTGAAAAGTTTGTGAGTGAAAAATTTTTTGAGAAACTTGTAACTGTCCAATCAGCCAACAACGTGTCAAAGACGGTTATCGTCGTACGAGTGTGGGCGTAAATATAGCGAACAATGAGACGTCGAGGATCCGTTTCCTTTTTTCGAGCGCGACACGAAGTCAATTGGGTTGAAATTCGGGGGGATCTCCGTCGGGAATACAGGCCCTGAATTTTGTAATTCTCTTAAACGATGGCGAGCACTCTGTAAAGAGAATGATTCATGGGGACGAGGGAACGGAGATAAACGTTTACGTGAGCAACCCTTAAACCGCAGGATTTGCCGGAACCAACGGGTATATAATATTTTCTCCAAACAAGCTTACGAGCATCCACTGCAATCTCCCCAACGTTTCGCGTTGTAGAACAGAAAATTATATCCTGTATAATTGAAAGTCCGGAGTTTGAACCTTGTTTGAGATTTTCCCCAAATTAGAATCCTTAAAATCCACTTTTCGCGTCGTCCAAGATTCTAATATCTCGTAGAAACTTTCTCCATCATCCCCTCGCCCATCGTCCAATTGGAAACTCTCGTCCACCGAAAACTCGACCGGTTGGTTCGTTCGAATGGCGCACCTCGGTCGAGAATAATCGGTGGACGAGGGCCGCTAGGGCAAGGAAGTAATTCCCGGGAATCCGTCACGTCAGGTGGTGCTGTGCTTCGAACGGATCTTCTGGGATCCGACCGCCAATTTGTTTGGCCACGTGGGGAGCACAACCGCGTCGCGTGGTGAGCTCTTCCTCTTCTGGAACCTTTACAAGGCGCCGGTGTTATTGGCCCTGGTCGCTGGAGAGGCTGCCTGCGTCATGGAGAATGTCAGCGACGACGTGATCGTTGGACGTTGCATAGCCGTCTTGAAGGTAAATTTTTATTAAATCGATCGTTTCTTTTTCTCTTCTCTTTTTTTTCTCTCCGTAACAAATTTATGGAAAAACGAGCGGAACGAATGCGCGAAAATTCATTGATCTTAGATTAGATCGATCGATCGACGTCGAAAGAATAATTGTTTAGAAAAGTGTCGATCGTTCGTTCTGATCTGTATACGGGATTGCACGAATAATACATCGTGTTTTTTTTTTCAAGGGTATTTTTGGAAACCAAGTGGTTCCACAGCCGCGCGAGAGTGTAGTGACGAGATGGCGAGCGGATCCATGGGCGAGAGGCTCGTACAGCTTCGTCGCGGTCGGCAGTTCCGGTAGCGATTACGATCTTTTGGCCGCCCCAGTCGCGCCCCCTGCCACCCCTGGCGCACCGCCGCCGCAACCCAGGGTTTTCTTCGCAGGTAAATATTTAGCCTCCGCGATATTTTTATCGGCTACCTCTTTCTCGCTCCTTTTCCTCGAAGAAACGGACGAAAGTGGAGTCTGTCGGCTGACAAAGGGAGCGCACGTGAATCGTATCTTTTTGAAGGCGGCCGGGGCTGTGCTTTTCTCACCAATCCCTTTCATCCTCAATAGTACCCTTTCGAAATTGGATTTCACGGTTTCGTGATAGATTTAAGACAAGTTGTTTAAGAATTCTATCGCAAACAAAAAATGATAGCACGTGCTGTGATTTTCAATGTTTCTCGAGATTAAGATGCAATTCGTTCAAATTTCATGTATCATCCTTTCTTATCTGTAAATCCAGATAAATTTTTTGCAATGGTGAATCCAAATTTGGTCGCAAAAATCACCTTATCGAGTTACGCTTAGCGTTCATAAAAGCACCGCATCGGAAAAGCTTACTCCAGAAACACAGAGAAATCATATATACGGTACATTTTCTAAAAAAGCATCTCCTTCTCGACTCTTTTACCAACCTCTCGACCTCCTTTTAACAAACCTCCTTGTCAAAACAAAATTGCCTTTCCATTTATATCCTCGCTCATATCTCGGTCCCCTAAAATCGACCAAGGTCGCCATCTTCGAACAGCCGACCCGAGGAGAAGAAAGACGAGGGGATAGAGGAGGGGTGTGTTTCGCTCAAAACGGGATAACCTCGTCCCTCATTTTTTTTTTCTCTCTTCTCTTTTATTCATTTATTTACCTTCTTCCCCCGTTTCTTCTTTAACGCGGTCGCGGACCGATCTGTGCTTTCAGGAGAGCACACCATACGAAATTACCCGGCTACCGTGCACGGCGCATTTCTCAGCGGACTACGCGAGGGTGGACGGATCGCGGATCAACTCTGCGGAAGCCCTTACGCGCCACCGACGATGCCCGCTTCCGGCCCAGCGCCCACCGCCATTCCAACCGCGACCACCGGATCCACGACCACGCCTTAGCGTCCTGCCGCGGAATCCTTGGCCTTCGATCGATAAAAAAATGAAACAAGAAAAAGAAAAAAAAAAAAAGCGTTACAATATCATCATACGATTCAATCGATCATCATCGTCATTCTATTATTATTATTCTCGCTTAGACGACGCGAAAGAAAGTACGAAAGGTAGCTGGAATTTTTCGTCTTCGAAAATTAAAGAGGATCGTTTGTTATACATATATATGTGTATATATATGTATTTTTTTTTTTTTTTTTTTTTCACTCTTTCGAAGAGCATAAAGATTCCAGATACCATTCTCGAAGCTCGTTTATCGTGTTTTTTCGATTGTAATTGTATGGAGGTTCGATCGAGCCAATAGCACGTATACGAGCGCGATTACTTACGATTACTATTAGTTAGGGAAATCTGTCCGCGAATAACCATTTCCTCCTAACGTATATAATAACGTTATATTGGACGATCGACGTTTGATTCGTCCTGGTTCGATCCATCGGTTTTCTGGTTGATTGATCACCTATTATCACGGGAATATAATTGAAACGCGATCGTAATTGAGAATGGGAGGAGGAGGAGGAGGAGGTGGAGGATTGGCGAAGCGGATCGATTGTTAAGTGTATCGACGTGACGTTTTCGAGCGATTCGAGATTTTCGTCGATTTCGTCGATTCTTGGACGACCTCCTTGAACGGAGAGATCGTATTTATTTTTCAGATATATTGCCCGCAGCGTGAGATAAAATAAAGTAGAAGAGTCGAGGACTGAAGAAAGATGATCGATCCGAGAACTCGAGAATCGTGTCACGATTAACGCACGTCGATTCATTTACATACACACAGATACATACATATACACACATACACGTCGCTACGATCCTCGATATTCTTATTTCCGCTTCTCTTTCGTATTTATTCCGAAGAGGAGGGGAAAAAAAAAAAAAAAGAAAGAAATCATAGATTCGTATCGAACGAGAGGATCGTAGCCGTCTTAGAGATAGAGAGTCGATTCATGATAAGAAAGATTCGTGCCTTTTGCTACTACGTTCCATCACGTACATTACACTGTTTAGTCTGTATCATATCGTAGAAATCGTTTCACTGTACGTTTAACATACTCTCTCTCTTTCTCTCTCTCTTTGTCTCTCTATACAATTGTCCTTTCTTCCTTCTCTCTCTCTCTCTCTCTCTCTCTTTTTTTTTTTACTCGCTTCGACACGCTTTCATAGTCACACGCATTTATCCCAAATCTTCCTTTCCTTACGTATATTATGCTTCCTCGAGATTTCTCGATCTCGACCATTAGCTACCTTCCATCACTTCTTATCTTCAATTAATCGATTATCGATTATGTTATTATATTTTAGCATTAACGGAAAAAAAACCAGAGCATGCATTTTCGCAACGAGAACAAAAAAAAGAAAAAGAAAAAAAAGAAAGAAAAAAATGTCCGACGAGGAATGAAACCGTTCTTTTCGCGCATTAACGCGTACAATTGCCGAACAAACCCACATCTCAACCTCAACAACAACGAACACCCGATCTATATATCGCTCTATTTGATCGATTCAACGCTCAAATCGCGCCTTTAAGCCGCAAATACTTTTCCAATGGAGGGATACACCGAAATAATCCACGTAGCCCGCGAGAGAATATCCGTTACGGAGGATGATGACTCCGTTCAAGCCTGATTTCATCGTCCTCGAGTCACGAATTCGATCGGTGACCGATTATCGATTATCAATTAAGGGGAACGGAATTCGAGGAATTTGCCATCGACGTTAAAACCGACTCCGGAGGAATCGAATCGCGTCAAGCGCACATATACACACATACACACATATACATACACGTATCGTTTTAAACTTGTCTCTCTCTCTCTCTCTCGTGGACGATATAAAACGGAAATAATCTCGTAAAGAGAGAAAAAAAAAAAAAAAGGAAAAAAGAAAAAAGAAAAAAAGAACCGTCTCACTGTATACTTGGCCGAGTTAACGATGTGCAAAAATTTCTGTATAATAAGTTATAAGATATAACGCGTGCGCGATGTCAGTTAGATGTGTTTTTCGTCCCACCGCAACACCATGTGCGCAATACCATGTACGTATATAAATCTGTAAAGACTAATCGATGAATCGATCGTTGATCGATTCTTAAGCAATGCCGCTTATATTTGTCTTGATTAAAGGCAGAGAGTTGTTACGACACCAACGACAGTTTGTGAAGAAACCCGTTTCGTGTTTCATTCGTGGCGATTTCATTTCACCGCCGATTGTAATGGCCCTTGGATGGCTCGACGAATGCGCAGATGGCAAATCGGTAGTCGCTCAGTCACCGTTTTCGATGGCGTACGATTACGAGGTCGGACAACGATCGAACCGAGCTCGATTCTATCCGTATAAACGGGCGGAGCGAGCGGAACGCCGCGTAGCATTGTCTGCTCTAGGATCCGCTCTTGTTCGCTCGACCCTCGAGCGATTCTCCACCGTTGTCCGAGGGACACTTGGGGGGTTACGTTAAGCTGTGCGCAATAAGAAATGTCAATGTCTCAAGAGAGGATTCCTGGCCTGTTCCGCGTCGAAAACTAGGTGAGTTGGACGACGCGTGAAGCAGCGCGCCACTCGTCTCCTTTTTCACCAGGCGAAAACTTCTCATCCGGCCTCTTCCATCCGGCGAACCGCGGCTCGTACCCTTTCAACGGCCTGCCTCCGCGCCCCCTCTGTAGAGACACGTACGTACGCCGGAAACCGCGGCTTTTCAATCCAAGCCTGTCGTGGCGAGGCAGTCGGTGCGGCGGAGAGTTTAAAGAAGGCCTCGTCGAAGGCGTGTTGGAGGAGAAGTGGGTCGCGTGTTTTTCGCTCGATCTCGGGAGTGAAAGGGAGTGAGATTCGATGACGGCGGATGGAGGAGGTTTGAGAATTCTGAACGACGACGACGACGACGACGACGAGGTTTTCGTGGAGATGATTGGCGGTGGTTGTTGGCGAAAGGAGGATGAAAGGAGATGAACTGGGTCTATGGATCTTTTCACTTGTGATCCAGTCTCGCGCTGCGAAGTGGGAAATTAATAATCGGGAATGCTTGGTGGTTTTTATATCGTATAATTTTACTCACCAGTATTTCTTTTCTTATTATTATTATTATTATTATTATTATTATTATTATTATTATCTTATTATTATTATTATTATTATTATTAATTATTAAACGATCCGATTTTTAAGAAGGTAGATTTTTTTAAGCAAAAAATAGGAAATCGATGAAAATCGATGATCGGTATAATTTCGAATCGTGAAGGATGCTTTTTGAGATTTTTTTTTTGACCGAAATTTTTCCCCGTAAGTGTACAAAATTCGATGAAATTTTAAAGTGAAATGTTGTTATATCCGTTTATTTTTTTTTTTTTTTTTTTTTTTTTTTTTTTTTGGGTTTTTTTTCGACTAAAAGAATTCTAGAGCGGATTTCGTTGGAAGATTATGCATGGGGTTTGCGTTTAACGCAAGAACCCCACACTATCAAAAATTTAACGCACAAATACTCATGTTAGGAGTACTTACAGGCTTCAGCTTGTGGCCTCATGCCTGGGGGAACCACCTCGTTGATCATGGTATCCCCTACGCCAGGTTAGTATTGTGAGCAACGGTTTCCGGCCCCGTGATTAGCACTCCCGTTATCGTACTCACTTTCGAGAAATCGGCAGAAACGAAACTCCATCCATCGGATATCGCTACGAACTAATTTTTGATAATTGAATAACGAATCCGTTATCCGTGATTACAAGGTGGCCGAGAAAGATATACCGTATATACCTGGCGAAGTTTAAATTATTATTATTATTATTATTATTATTTCTTTTTTTTTTAGCTGAATTTTTGTTGCTTTATTGTAATTCTAAAAAAAAAATTTGCGAATTAAATTTGCGAATTTGTTCGTTATTATTTCGTTATATTTGGAAATGTATAATAATAATAATGGAATGTATAATTTAAAATATGAAAATATTTTATGGATATTTTGTGAAGTTATTTTAAGTAAATTGCAAAAAAGATTTTTTTTTTTTTTTCCATTTTCGAAACAAACAAGGATCGTTTATTACGAAAATGATTTAAATTATATATGGGCAACCATTAAAATTCTAATTGAATTTAATTTCAATTACAGAATTAATATATAAATTTCTCGATTGAGAAATTGCACGATATCGATCGATCCGCTAACGTACTAACGCGTAATTTTATTTTTTTTATTCTTTACTCGATCGACCGTTACCGTTAATGCTCTATCGTTTTTTTTTTCCCCCCCTTTTTTTTTTTTTTTTTTTTCTTTTTTCTTCCAACTTCCAAAAAATGGTTTCTTACGGAAACCAAGTCTAGAAATTGGAACGAGAGATCGAGTCGAACGAAATCAATCCATCCGAACGAATCGAATTGATTTAAACGAATCGTCGAATTCCAATTCGCTCATCGTCCAAGACAATCCCTCTTTTCGACGATCGTTCAACAATCGTTTCGTTTGAAATTTGAGCGAAATTTCCACAGGAAAGTGCAAATACGCGTGGAAAATCATTCGTACGGCTGCGACGCGTTCGAACGAGGCGAGGAGCGTGTAATTCTCGAATCGACGCGTGCAACCCTCTCCCTCCCCGTCTGCCGACGAAATTTCCTGCCTAAATCGGGGATATTGTGAGCTTGATTACTTCGATATAGATATTGCGTTACAGTCATGGCTGGGGGCGTGTAATCGAACTACACGGAGTCTCGTAAACTCGATGAACTTGAAAGACGAACCCGCCGCCGAAGTCCTGAACTTCTGACGGGGTGCAATGTTAGCACTTTGCCATCGAGTTCCATCCGCCCCTCTCCCTCGCGAAACATCGTTGCTCCTGCCTTCTATTCCACGATTTCCCCGGATAATTGATTTTCACCGTGCAAGCGTGCTCGAGGATCATCGACCGAGTGCACCCTTTAAAATTTCCTCGACCGTCGAGTTTTTCATCCTTGCTTTTGTCAATCCAAACGCTGGATGGAAAAATTAAAACTTTCGCCTCTCCGTTGGAACAAGAAGAAAAAAAAAAGAAATGTCTCTAAGTTAAACACACAATTGAGTAAAGAAGTTCACGTTAATTTGTAATCACAAACATTTTCAACTATAACGTTACCATACCAAAAAAATAAAGATCCTCCCCTGAGATTAAGTTAATCCCTTGTAATGATCCATCTGCCTATTTTTAAAGAAGAAAAAATTCGCCGTCGTAAAGAGGAAATGGAAGAAGAAAGGGGAGAGAAGTAGAATCACGGGCAACGGGGGAACACGAAACATTTGGCAGGCACGCGAGAAAAACGACCAGCCCCATTGATAGCCCATTAATTCCCAGTAATGATCCAATTACCGCGCCAGAGACGGCCCTTTCGAACACCTATTCGCCGCCTTGGAGCGTGTTCGTGCGCATCAGTCACGTTCCAGGGCATTGAGCAAGATCCAAGTGTACCCGGCCTAACCGAACCGTAACCAGACCGCAGTTGCAAATCAACCCCCTCCACCTCCTCCAAATATTCCTCCCTTCAAATATTAATTCAATAGGAGGCGGTCGTCGTGGTAACGACGTAAACACCGTTACCATATCCGTCGATCGTCCGTCCATCCGTCGAGGTCAAGAGAGATATCGGTGGTAGTCGAGGACGAAACGAAATTTCTAACCCTCTCTATCCAACCGTGAAGGAGGGAAATCATGAGTTTCTTCAAGTTGGAGGAGGTGCAATGCGGCCCCCTCAAGCCGAGGAAACGCAACGCGGTTGCCGTCGGCAGCCCGAACGTGTGGTGGGGATACAGATTGCGCGAGAGGACCGGTTGCAAGAAGATCCCTATACCCGAAACGTACGAGAACTTCGAGGAGGAGAAGAGGAGGGACTATGAGCACGTGACGAAGATCATGGAGTTCGAGAAACACTCGAACTGGAGGATCAGGAGGAAGGGTATCAGGCAGCACGTTCAGCAAGGTACTAGCGAGGAATGTATGGGGTGTTGGTCGTCAGGACACGCGGCGAAGTAAGAGGTGCGTGCGTAGAATTGCGTTTGATCGAAGTTTTCAAGTTTGTGTAATTTCGTGTAGGAAATTTAGGAATCGAATTTTGGGGAATTTTTTTTTTCTTTCATCTTTTTTTAAGGAAAGAGAAAAGTGGATAAATAAAGTTAGATTATTCGAAATGGAGTGTAATTTGGCGAAATTTTAAATTGAATTCTAAAACTAAATTCTAGACTATGTCGCGCGATTTTATCTCAAATTATTTTCCCGCTTTCACAGAAATTTCAATAAAATAAAACTTTTAAATAAAAGAAAAGGAAACACGTTATCTCGATAGATTCGTTCTCAATTAGAATCGGATTGGAAATGCGTATGTAATCGGTCAACAAGTGGTAATTCCTCAGGGCTGATATCTCACGAAGACATGGTGAACGTACGTCGGGAAAAATTGCGAGAGATACTGTTGAAGGAAGAGATGGGGTTGATCCACGAGGTGATAGACCAGGCTCAGCACGGTGACGACGCAAGAATGGACGATATGCGGCGCACAATAGAAGAGATACACAAAGAAGAGGAGGAACAACGGTTGGCCCTGTTGGCCCAGAAAAAGATGCAGCAATATGTGATAGGGAGCGCGTTATTCCGGGAGGAATTGTCGAAGAGGGCTGTAATCGAAGCGAAACAAATCAATCTCGTCCAAATGACGGAGAACGAAGTTAAGAGGCAGGCCGAGAAGGAATTGGATAATTTCTGGCACCAGATGATGCTGAAAGAGGTGGAGGCGAAGAAGCAGAGGGATGTAGAGGAAACGAAGAGGCGTTGCCTCGTCCAAGAGAACGACACCCAAATTTTGATGAATCAAATGGCAGGGAAATTGGCTTTGGAGGAGGAGAGGAAGCGGATACGGCAGGAGGACGTTGAGCACATGGAACGTTTATGCGAGGCGGTTCGCAAGGAGGAGCTGGACAAGGCGGAGAGAGATCGCCAGAAGAAGGAAGAGTTGAAGAACGATCTGCTGGAACAGATTCGGCTGGCCAAGACGAGGTTGACGGAGGAGGATCGCCACGAGAAAGAGATGGACCGGTTGAGAGGGGTTATCACCGCCGAGGAATTGGCGAGGGAGGAGGCCGCCATCGTGGAGACCACCGCGGCTTTCCGTAGCGAGTTGTTGGCTTATTTCGAATATTTGGAAAATTTGAAGAAACAGGAGGAGAGGAGGAACTTGGAGATTGACCGGCTGGTGGAACAATCCCTGAAGGAGGCCGCAGCCAAGCGCGACGAAGCGGTGAAGAGGTACAAGGAGGTTAGGAAGAAGCTTCTGCAGGATGTGATAGAGGGTCGGGAGCAACAGTTGAGGATAAAATGCGAAAAGAAGAAGAGGGAGGAGGAGGATCGTTTGTTGGAGAAGGAGATGTTGGAAAAGGAGATAGAAATGGAAGCCAAGTTGACCGCCAACGCGAAGAAGGAAGAGAGGGAGAGGATGTTGTGCTACAAGAAGGAACTGGTGGAGCAATGGAAATTGAAAGACGAGACGCGGCGTAAAGAAATCGAGGAAGGGAAGAAGATGTATGTGGATGAGTTGAAACGTCAAAATGACGAGTATAATAAAATAATGGACGTTCCGCAAGTTACCGCCCCGCATCCGTTTAAGATTTTGTTGAAGGAGTGCGCGACTCGTCATGCCGCGGAGAAAGAGGGGAAATGTACCTGTCCTCCTCTGTTAGACGAGTAAAAATCACACGATTTGTATCTCACGATTTCAATTTTAACGATCGAACGTATTCTGTTCGTTTATTACAAAGTGATGTATTTATACACACACATATATATATATATATATACTTGCTGTTTTAAAATACGAATTTTCCCGCTCCGAGAGGATCCACGATCCACGCCGAGATCTATACAGTTCCGTTTGAACTATTCGCGCCATCTGTGCCAACGTACGAAAACTTTCTCTATCGTTAAGGTAGAATTCTGTTTCTCGTTCATCGATCTCTTCTCTTTTTCCCCGTTTTTTTACGGCGCGCATTCCCTACTGGCGCGATATTTAAAAAAGCGCCATCGATGAAAGAAAAATCGCTCCTTCTCCGTAACATGGCTGTTAAATAAACAGGTGCGAAATAACTAACTCGTGAATCGAAAGCAATTCAATCAAAAGCAATCGGAACAACGATTTACGAGACAGTTGATCGTAAATCCAAACCTATCGAATTATAACAAACCGATGAAATAAAATTGGCGCAAATGTCGAGCGTCAATTCGAATCACTCGTAAATAATCTCATCGTTGTATTTTCATTTTCATTTTCACCGGCCGATTCGGGATTAAAATAATTACGCGCTCGGTTAAAAATATCTTTTTTCTTTCGCGACGCGAGATTTATACCTCGGTTGAAAAACCGATCGTCCACGTTCTTTTTTATCTTCCTTCCCCCTTCTTTTACTTTTAACTTTATTCTTCTTTGTTGTTTTTTTTTCTCTCTTTCTTCTTGTACAGAGATACATAAGTTGGAATCTCTTTCTCGTCGAATCCTCTTGCACCCGTCTTCGGTCCCTTTGACATTCACGCGGGCATTGACGTGCAAATTGACGCGCAGATTGGATTAAATAACATAACTTGTACGGTCGGTGCGCGCGACGCGTTAAATTAGTCGCCGTTTCGTTCAATTATCGGAAAACACGCGACGCGGTGAAAAGGAGGGTCGATTCAACGAACGTGCGCGGTCAAAAAATTAAAGAGGAATTAATCGGCTCGAAGACCCGCTTACAAATAATTTGATCGAGGCTTCGAGTTCGTTTTCAAAAATCTTATCCCGATAATTTAACCCCTTTCGAAAATGTATTCGAAAATGTATTGGAATGTTATTATCATTTTTTTTACGATTACATCTACGTCACGATGGGTTAAAGCGTTATCTGTTTACGATCCCCCAAACACCGCTCTCTTTTAAACGTTTCTCTTTAAAACAGCGCAGATATTATGACGTCGTTTACCTAACTTCCATATTATATACTATATTATATACTACCGTCGGTAGTGCTTATTTTTTCCCCCTATCTTCCCTCGGGCTTTTCTTTATACATTTTCGAAAGCGTTGAAGGTATTCCAACTATTATAAATGATACAATCTGTGCCTAGCATTATATAGATCTATAACAGATCTATATAACAATGCTCTTTCAAAATTGCTCCCTCACCTTGATCACCCGACCAAGATAATTTTCAGGAGGAATTTTTTTCCTTCCTTTAATTTTTCCTTCCTCGTCGAATCCCTTTAACGACGTATCGAGAATCTTCGTTTGCATTTTTTCTCAAGATATCGTAAGGAAGGAATTTACCCTCGATCCTCTCCATCGAAAATAGAGAAGAAAATAGAGAAGAAATAGTTCTCCACGAGACGCTTTTATTTAAACCGCTTTTAACTTTTCCAACTCGCTGTCGCAAACTCGATTTCCCTTTCTAGGATCTCCGCGTCCCTTACGATAGCGCGATAAATCCAACTCGATGGAGGCCATAAAAAATCCAACCCTTTCGTCGAGACGAGAAAAGCTGGGACGCTCCCCAACATAGCCCCATGTATATTAAAACGCATCCCCGTGGCTATATTAAAATATTTCCGTTCGGTCGGCGAGCTCGTCCCATAATTCCTCCACCCGTGACGTCGCGTAGTTGCGAAACCGTTCAACGGCGTGGAAACCCGGAAGTGGTTGGCGCGGGGGATGGACACGGGCCCCAAGTCGAAGCTATTTAACGCGGAATTTCGACCGCAGACACGGGATATGAATACGGATAATATCCGTGATTGTCGTCGTGTCTGCGAGAAAAGCGATTGGAAATTACGATTAAAATTTTGGGGAGGGGGATCATTCTTGATTTGAATGATGATTCGTAGGGGTTAGGGTTTCGATTCGTTCGATTTTTCTGATTTCTTTTTAGCAAGTCTTTGTAATTTCATTTTGCTTCATAATTGTTGTGATGTCGAATTGGATAGTTCAGGGTTTGGTCGTCGCCTATTGGGGATTCTTCCAGTAGAAAGTAAAAGTAATAATGATAATAATGGAATGAATTTTAAATCGTGCTTCGATATTCTCGATTGTTCATCTCTTTTTTGTAGTTTTTTGTATTTTCATTTGAGAAGAGAAGATTGTTCAGCTCTTTTAGGAGCTTTTTTACTTTCCTATTATTACCTTCTTCTTTTTTTCTTTCAGAGAGATTTCATCCTTTGCGTGTTCTCCCTCGGAGAGAGAGATTAATCGATTAGATAGATAGGAAGAAGGGTTGCGAGACTCGGTAATAATTTCTATATACATTTTTAAAAACATCAGTTAATTAGATTCGAATTATTTTAAAAATTTTTGGGAAAGATTTGGGATATTTTTAAATATTCTCGTGGTAATCGAATATTCTTAGCAGATTGAATAATTGATCAGTCCCCGGGATTCGATAAACAAGTTTTTTAAACTTGCAACGAACTCCATTAAGAATTCATTAAAAGATTTCTCCTCGAAAGCCTGATTGGCCCCCGTGACTCCATTTACTACGTGTACATTAAAATATTCACCCGAACGCTTCTCCGCCATACCCCCGCCTCTCCGCCTCGATCAGGTTAATCGATTTAGTCGCTCTACTTAACCCTTTGCCAACTCAAAAAAAAAAAAAAAAAAAGTAAAAAACTCAAAAGACCATCGTTACAATACCCGACGAACGACCATCCCGAAGATTCATCATTCCATCCTTTAAAGATAAACGACTCGTTACATTACGTTAAATCAAAGTCAAAGAAAAACACTCGTTCGTTGCAACTCGAAGATCTCTATCTGATGATCTCTATCTGATTTTCTTCAATTAAATCATCGAGACTCGCGCCGATCGTGAAACCCACCGATTGTGAAACTTTCACCCTCAACGAAGGGTGAGTTAAACCACGCTCGATTCGAGGTCCAACAACCGCGTGCATCCGTCGACGCGTGTGATTGATCGAACTGTGTGCATGCGTCGCGGTTTGTCGAGGTTCGCCCTCGAGGTTGGAGAGGGATCACAGTTGCGATCGCGATCGCTTTGAGCCATTCCCTGGCCGGCCAGTGGCATTTTCTCCTCGTTTCGCTTCGGTGCCTCGAGGCGGCTGCACCTGCGCGCTTCTTTCTCTTCTTCTTCTCCGTATTAAAGCGGAATGAAGAGAAGGAGGAGGAGGAGGAGGAGAGGATTATTGTCGAGGAGGGGACGTGGTAACGGGGTAAGATAATTCTTCTGTTCGAGGAGAATGGAAAGGGTTGTTTAATTTTCAATGCACGAGAAGTGTATCCTCGCGCAGCGAGTATAAAATCGAAGGGGAAAATATCTATTCTTATTTTTCTTTTTCAGAGAAAATAAGGAGGAAGGGAAATTCTCGGAAAGTTAGTTTGATTTTTGTATTCATAGATTTTAATTCTCTTTGATAATTCTGTTTCTTCAAAATATACTCGAGAACTCGTTGCCAGGTTAGAGAGATGCGTGGTTTTTTTGACGAAATGACGCGAAAGAAAAAGGTATCTCGCGTTCGCAACGTGGCGACGAAAAGGGGATTAAATTTAGATGCGAGTGACGAGAGAAAGGAGTACGAATATCGAGAGTACGAGCAGAGATAAGGGAAGTCTAATTGGGAAGACATCGGATAAACGTGGAGGGATGGAGAAAGGAGAAAAATTACAGAGGTAGATTTATAAAAGTATATAAGCTTCGTCTTCCTCTGCTGGACGATCTGTCCTTAAGAGAGAGAGAGAAAGAGAAAGAGAGAGAGAGAGACTTCCATCGCAATCTACTCCCGTGTAATCCATAGGGCGCCAACTTTCCAGACACCTACTCGCTGTCTGCGAGGGAGATGACTCGAGACTTTTGGTTTGGAAACAATCCATCGGTTTCTTAATCTCTCGGTTCTCTTAACCTGAAAAAAAAAGAAAGAAAGAAAGAAAGAAAGAAAGAAATGTATCCAATCTCATCTAGCACGATAGATGTAACAAAACATTATTGACCGACGAAATCTTTTTTTAATCTTGTAATCTTGGTGGAATAAACTTGAGAAGGGGACAATAATTAAAAGTACTAATCGTCAACGCGCGCGCGACGCGAGAGGGGGGGATTCCCTTCTCGGAAAGGATTGAAAGAGAGATCGAAGAAGCAATTATATAGGAGAGGATCAAGGACACAAGGACGAAGAGAAAGGAGACGGAATAGGAAGAAATATGAAAAGGATAAAAAAGGAGGGGAGGGGAAAAAAATAAAAGGAGAGGCAGACGAAGAAGAAGAAGAAGAAGAAGAGGAGGAGGAGGAGGAGGAAGGAAATGGGGTCCAGGACGGGGATTGCGGACTCGAAGGAGCGAATGGACCTCGCCCCTGGGGATGTTCTTTTGACAGTCATGTCGCTGTCGTCTCCTAAGGTCCCCCGGCGGCGTTGCATTAATCTTCTTCTTCCGACCCCGCCTTATTGAAAATTCTACAGAACGCTTCACAGTTTTTGCCCCCGGTCCGCCCTTTGTACCCCCGCCTACACCTCCGGGGACGTCACCTACGTAGAGGAGGATTCACCTGGAGGAGGGAAGAGAGTCGATCGTCGCGGCTTCCGTCTCGTGTCGTCTCGTTTTCCATTCGTTGAAAGGGTGAAAACCTTTCTATTAGGGAATCGGTTAAATGCCAATTGACCGAATAATTCGTTACCAGTGATTCTGATATCTTGGAAATTCTCGAATACACGAA